CATTGAAGTCCATTCTTGACCTTGAGTGACACAATAATGAAAACTTTTACAAGTCTTCAACCACATCTTATAGTCTTTATTAGTAAGCTACAGTAGTTTGATTCATTGATGAATACTGTGAAACGTGGTTGAAATTCCAGAGAGGTAGTAAATGTACATTTAAAGTGAGATTATGTTGCCACATGTCTACATTGTTGAAAATGTTGCTGACTCACACGACAGATATCTATCTTGAAATAAATGTAATGAAATCATTTACATTAGAATACTTGACTTGAGATTTCATCCCATTTGCATATATTTAGGTGATAACATGAAGAGTCACAGCTTGATTAGAGACATTATCCTAGCATTCAGCATTGCTTGGTACATTTTTTCCTTGTCACTAGACACCATTGTTTCTGAGATAGCAGGGTTCAGTGATTTTTTGTGTGTTTTGTTCTCCGGTCCTTTGTATAACACAAGAGTAATGAACAGTGAAATGTAAATAAGGAAACTTGTGAGAAAGCACTGACTCCACCACTGTTCTTTGATGGTTTGTAGGTTAGTATGTCTGAATAGTTTGTGCTCTAAACTCCACATACTGTAGCTTTCTGTGTACTAATCCTACTTCATTTTGAATACTCGTGTGGCTTCCTGCTCATTGTGATCAAAAGTAACACACCCATACCGATACTGCACTTAATCTCCACCTTTAATGTTTGCCTTTAAATCCTCCACGTTCCTCATTAGCTGAGTCATGGCTGCGATGAGGCCGGTAAGAGGTTTCCTGTGTAAAACGCTTCAGTGGCTCCAGGTGTCTGATATCCAGGTGCAGACCCACTTTGCCTGTCGCTCTACTATGATTAAACTAATTGCACATACTGTGGGATCAACATGAGGAACCAGAGACCATGTGTTGTCTGACGGTAATCGGGCAGGACCCACCACAGCGCTGTGCCTCTCTTATATGTTGATTAGCTTTTTCTTTGCTGGGTTTTTACACCCTCTTCCCCAGATGGTGGATCAGTGTAAGCACGGGTGATCCGGGCCTTCACTGCTGCCTGTGCGGATCTTCTTTTAGTTCAATTTAAACTAAACACAAGGGGGCTGTTAAATCCATTATGATGTATCTGCTTAAATTGACATTACACTTTGATGGAGCTCATAATTAAAGGCTGCATGTGAAAGGAGTCAGAAAAAGCTCCTCCTATCTTATTTTATTCCTTCTGTTTCAACACTCTGACCTGTTTTGCATGTAGCCTGCCTCTCCTCTAACCCAGTGTCTGCTGACTCCAGCCTCCTGTGACCCTCCACAGGAAAAGGCAGGTAACAGATGTATTTTAGTTCATCAAGGATCACTTGGTCCACTGCTAACCAGTTGTTAACTAGGTTGAGCAGGGCATGTAAAGCTGCTTTGGTGTGTTTTGTCTGAACACTGTACCTGTTTTCTGAAACAGTAATTGCATTGGTGCCATTACATGAGATCCACTGACACAACTTTATGTTTTTGGAAGTGAAGGTTCATGCAGCTGAATGGAGGAATGCATCTACATGCAGTACATTCATCAGACTGTTCAGGAATGATTCCCCCCAGATCAATCAGCTATATAATTTATATGATTAGAGGTGTTGTACCAACATTTAAAAAAACATCTTACCAAAGGTTTGTATTTGCACAGTACACAAGCCAGTTGTTCCACATTATATCTTATGTATCATCATGCTGTTAACATCCCTCCATTGATGGTTAATTGCTTGAGAATAACTTTTGTGACTCATGATACAAAAACATCAGGCACATCTCTTGGGAAATTCCACTACGTAAAGAGTAACAAATGATCGTACTTCATTCTGCAAATGCAAACTATTACCAATTGTGCTTTATCTCACTTCAGTTTCAGACAGGTCCTCTTTATGTTTAAACTTGTTTTACATTGTAAAAATCACAAAAGTGATATTTAGTATCAAGGCTCACAGAAGAGGAAGGTGACACTCCATGAAAATATCAGCCCAGGAGTGTGGTAATGAAATCATGCCTCTGGCCACAATGCATCAGCAAGGAAAGTTTGGTAAAACATGAGTCATCACAGTTGTTGTTCTCGATCGAGATTCACACTTTCCTAATTTAAGACCTGAATTTCTGAGTTCTTGGACATTTTGTGACAGAGCGGCGTAAAATGCTAATGTACCTGCAGGGCAGTTTGCTTCACCAACAGTAGTCCAACACAAATACATACATCTTATACAAACACAGTACAACCGCCATGTCTCCCACACTGTCACTTGAATCATGGAGAAAGAAAGAGAAACATGATGACATCTTATAGTTTGTTAAAACAACAACATGAGACAATAGTTGATGGGACAAAAGACAATCTGTACATATGCAAAGGATGTTGAGGGTCCAAAATAACAGACTGTACCTTCAAGATGACTCACTTCATACAGGTCCTTCACAGGAAGGATGTGATCTGCAGGTAATGGAACCCACCTGCATATTGTTCCTTATGTTCATGTGGAGTCAGCAGGTTTTGTCTGTGTGTCAGACTCGACATGGTTGGCACCTGTTTATAGCCGGTAGAGAAAATCTCAATGTCTTATTACACTTTGGGTAATGTGATACAACTTGTAATCAGCTTTAAAAAGTAACTGGAAAGAGATATTGTAACTTTTACTCTTACGTAAATCTGTTGTGCAAATGTCATGACATATTGAGGTTTAAGTTAAATGTTAAATATTAACAGATTTTCTACAATCCAGCAACAAGTAATGAATTTGGCTGTACAATTACACCAGCAGGCTGTGCATCCCACCAACTCTCATCTGTCTCACTTGTTGCTGAAACATAAGAGTGTTCTCAATGTGTTAGGCTTCAGATTGATCCTGTTTCAAAAGAGGAAAAGCCAGACACAGTCACAGACATCATTTAACATCTGTGTGTGGATCACCTCAACAGAAAATGTAATTTGATAGCTGTGCAACTGACTGCTGTTAGTCAGTAGACTGTAGGTCCATGAGGATTAACTTGACAAATGGCTTATAAAAAAAAAAAATCTGTTTGTCTCAGACCTGTTTGTTCTAGATGTGTTGTCACTGATAAGCATTTTTATCATCAGCTGCATGAATGAAATTGTTTAAATGTATCCTCAATTTGCTGCACTAATAGCAGCTGATTAGTAAGGTGCAGTTTTCTTGCTTTTACCACAAACATGTTTCTGTGAATAATGACTTATTTTACTCCTTTAACAAAAACTGACATCTGCCTCATTTTGAAGTCCTTAAAAAACCACTGCAGGAGAATAGACCATGCACCAAAAAACAAAGTCAAAAATATTTGAATCTGTATTGAATCATTTCCATTTTCCTGTTGACTGTGTGTGTTTACTCTCCTCTGAAGCTCTGTTTGCTTTGTTACACCCCTTTGTTTGTTATTCGGTGTCAGTTTATGACATAGCCAACAAAAATAAACAGTAATAAAATAAACGATCATGAATACAGTGCAATGTGTTGCTGCATCACAGCATC